CGGGGTTTCACCATGTTGACCAGGATGGTCTCGATCTCTTGACCTCGTGATCCACCCGCCTCGGCCTCCCAAAGTGCTGGGATTACAGGCTTGAGCCACCGCGCCCGGCCTACATTTTAAACTACACTACAACTGATTAACCTAGAAGTCTACGCTGTATTACAAGGAACAGGTTGTTGCTTAATGAAATGCCAAAGCATTTTGGACACTCAATTATTCAGAGATTGGAGTCATAAGGAGCAGAAATCCACAATACTGATAAAGTTATCTTTGAAAGGCAGTTTTGAAAATGTATCATAACTCCAGTAGCAATTAATATACCTAGCCCCAGATACTGGTTTCTAATACCATTATCCAATAAAGGGAACCAAGGTTCCTTGGGGGAAAAAGCTGATTCTGGGACTGGTACAGAAAATATACAAGATGAAGAACCTGAAACATCTTGAAATGACAAAGAATTAGGAAGTGCTCAAAACAAAACCAAGCCCTGTATCGATATAGTATGTCAAAGGGACACAGCAGGCAACTTAAAAATTACCAATGGCCACAGCTGGAACAAATTCACAAGGAAGTATTAGATTATAACCCAAAGTATAAAACAAGATCCATGAGTGCATACTGATATTGACAAATTATTGAATTAATAAATAGGGGAGGAGAGACAAATCTCCCATGCAGAAGAATTAAAATAATTTTCCACCCCATAAGTGTGGGCTCTACATAGGGACTGCCTTCTAAAGAGACCAGTATGGAAAGGGAGAAAAGAGTAACTTTACAGTAGAGAAACCTGATCAACAGTCTCAGCCAGGTGACTGAGGTCAACATCAACACTGATAAGTCATGTTGATCGCATGTATCCTGGATAGGATGTGATGAAAAAATGGCACTTTATGTCTATGTCTTCCTCCCCAAAATCCTAAACCTTGGTCTCACCATAAAAACACCAAATTTCAACTGAAAGATGTTTTACAAAAAACCTGACTAGTACTCCTCAAAATCCTCAAAATGTTCAGTCAACAAAAACAAGAAAAATCTAAAGAAACTGTCATAGTCTTAGAGGAACCCAAGGAGACACAGTGACTAAATGTCATGTGGTATCATCCTGGATAGGATCGTGGAACAGAAAAAGGACACAGGTAAAAACTAAAGAAATCTAAAGTGTGGACTTTAAGGTAATATGTCAATATCCATTCTTTCATTGTGACAAATGCACCATACTAAAGTATTAGAGTTCTCTAGAGGAACAGGACTAATAGATGTATATATGAAAGGGAGTTTACTATGGAGTACTGACTCACACAATCACAGGTGAAGTTCCACAACAAGCCATCTGCAAGCTGAGGAGCAAGGAAGCCAGCCCAAGTACCAAAACCTCAAAAGTAGGGAGGCCAACAGTGCAGCCTTCAGTTTGTGGCCAAGGGCCTGAGAGCCCCTGGCAAATCACTGCTGTAGGTCTCGGAGTCCAAAAGCTGAAGAACTTGGAGTCTGATGTTTGACTCCATCCAGCATGAAAGAAAGATGGAGTCCAGAAGATAGCCCGTCTAGTCCTTCCACGTTCCTCTGCCTGCTTTTATCCTAGATGTGCTGACAGCTGATTGGATGGTGCCCACCCAGACTGAGGATGGGTCTGCCTCTCTCAGTCCTCAAATGTTAATCTCCTTTGGCAACACCCTCAGAGACAAACCCAGTAACAATACCCTGCATCCTTCAATCCAATCAAGTTGACACTCAATATTAGCCATCACACCATACTAAGGTATAATGTTAATAACTTCAAGTGGGGTATAAACTGTTATCTTTTCAATTTTTTTATAAATCTAAATCTGGTTTTTTTTTTTAAGTTAAAAATTCCTTAATTTTTTATTCCTGGTACCACTACCACAATTTACAGGGCAACATACCTGATGTAATGAAAAGAAAAAGAAAAAGACAAAGCTACAACAGATAAAAGACCTCAGGAATGTACATCTAATTGACACTACATTGCGTTAATCAATAGCTGCACTTTTTGCAAACTGTGGCTATGACAGTCCTGAACAAGAAGGGTTTCCTGTTTAAGCGGCAGTAACTTTTCTGACTGTGGATCATCGCTCCTTCTGTGGCAGATTTTTACAGTTCCTCTAATGCATTTGGGACGACTGTCTCAAAGTCACTTGCAGCTTTCCTGACAACTCCTTGCTCTCTCTCCTGCTAAGAACTGTAGCCCTTTTCTGCTGCTTTTAGAACCCTCTGCCACATATCCACCACTTCCACCACCAGATCCATAACCACCACCATAGGGACTGCCCGAGCTTCTTCCGCCAAAACTGCCCCCTTTCATGGGTCCATAATTTGATTGCTATTGTCCACTATAATTTCCAAAATCATTATAGTTCGTACCACCGCCAAAATTTTCTCCTTCATTGTAACCATCATATCCTCCACCATCGCCACCATATCCACCTCCTTGGTTTCCATATCCTGGTCCACCACCACCATAGCCCCCTCTACTACCATAACCAGGACCACCGCCATAGTTGCCACCATCACCAAATCCATTATATCCACCATCACCTCCTCCATAACTACCTGTGCTGCGACCACCCCCACCACCATAACCTCCTCTTCCACCAAAGTTTCCACCACGGCCAAAATTACCTCCACCACCTCCAAAGTTTCCTCCGCGACCCATAAAATTGCCAGATCCACCTCCACGACCTCTCTGTGATCCAGCAGACTGCATCTCTTGTTTAGAAAGGGCCTTTTTCACTTCACAATTATGCCCAGTAATAGTATGGTATTTCTGAACAACAATTTTATCAACTGTATCACGATCAAAGTTACAAAAGTAAATCCTCTCTTTTTTCCACTCTGCCTGTCTTCCATAACTTCTGTGGTTTCAATGTTGCCATACTTTTCAAAGTAGTGTCTCAAATTATACGCTTCCATATCTTCTTTAATACCACTAACAAAAATTTTCTTCACTGTTGGATGGGCACCAGGCTTTACAGAATCCTCTCTAGAAACAGCTCTCTTTGGTTCCACTACACGCCCATCAACCTTGTGTGGTCGAGCACACATTGCTGCATCCACCTCTTCAACACAAGAATAAGTCACAAAACCAAAGCCCCTGGAACACTTGGTTTGGGGATCTCTCATTACCACACAATCTGTAAGTGTGCCCCATTTCTCAAAATGTTCTCTTAAACTATCATCTGTAGGCCGGGCGCGGTGGCTCAAGCCTGTAATCCCAGCACTTTGGGAGGCCGAGGCGGGTGGATCACGAGGTCAAGAGATCGAGACCATCCTGGTCAACATGGTGAAACCCCGTCTCTACTAAAACTACAAAAAATTAGCTGGGCATGGTGGTGCGTGCCTGTAATCCCAGCTACTCAGGAGGCTGAGGCAGGAGAATTGCCTGAACCCAGGAGGCGGAGGTTGCGGTGAGCGAGATCGCGCCATTGCACTCCAGCCTGGGTAACAAGAGCAAAACTCCGTCTCAAAAAAAAAAAAAAAAAAAAAACTATCATCTGTAGTTTCAAAGCTCAGACCACCAATAAACAGTTTTCTCAACTGCTCTGGTTCCTTTCGATCGTGGCCCTCCTCCCCCACGCGGCGACAGTGACGGCCGGAGTCGGGCTGAGGGCGACTGGGCAGCAGTTTTACCTCCATTTTGAGACCAGACTCGCCTCTTCCAACTTGAGTTCAATATGGGACCGAGAGTAAGAGAGCAAACCTAAATATGTTTTAAAAATAGTCTATAAAAGTATATTCTAACAATCTCTCTGAACTCTTTCCTTACTTCTAAAAATGAAGGTAAACAGAATATCCAATCTTTATATTGACAATTCAGTGCATTTTCCCTTTTAGTGGGCAGCTTTTAGCAATTCTTTCATTCAACTACTAAATATCAATTACAGGAGGCACTATTCTAGATTTGGGATCCAACACTAAAAAGCAAAGCGGATCTTGCATTACACTAATTACAGTTTATGTATTATGGTATAATTCAGAAATTTTAAAAGACATTTCTGTCTCTCTATTAGGTTTGTACCATAAATTTCTAACAATAAATTCCTGAACAATTCCTAATGAGAATTCCTTCTTTATCAGCAAGGATTTTTTAGGCTATTATCACCTCCTCGAATGACAGAAGTTGCAGTGTCAAGGGCCAAGAGAGGGAAACATTAAAGTGAGCCTAAACCTGAGGCTTTGCCCAGGGATTGTGTACCACATTTCCTAAGATATACAAATGTCATAGTTAGCAACATAATAGAATTCAAATTCTAAAAGCAGGAGGTGACTGAGAAGGCTTCACTTCAAACTGTTACAGCAGGGAGCATCACTGAGTTTAGACAATGGGTGCTACAGGTGGCATTTTAAGCCTCCAGAGGTAAGCCCCCAGTGGAGCCTATAGATACTCTTTACATGCCTGGTGGGGCCTATGCCTCCCATCACCAGCTGCAATGGAATGTACTCCTGCCCTTCTGTACTCCTATCTACCACCTCCACCTGAGTTCTATCCAGGACCTCCCACCAGGAATAAGGCCATGAGATAGGTGCAACCCCATGGCACTGCCCTATCCTGGAGCCCTGGAACCTCCTGTCAGAAGCCCCACAATTCCCTCCATTCCTGCAACCAAAGCCAAGCAGCAGCTGCCAGAGGTAGGAGTTCCAGGGATATGGCTCAATCGCTCCCAGAATGGCCGTTCAAAGCAGAGGTGGTAAATCTTCCGTTTCAAACTTTTCTATATATATTTATTACCTGTATACTTATTCATTCATGCAATTTGAGATAGTGTGCCTTTTTTCTCCTCCAAAAAGTAGGTCTAATATTTACTTTTCTGAGTTGTAATATTGGATAATGTATATAAACTTTTTTTCTTTTTAAAATTTTAATGCCAGAGAGTACCTGGATATATAAACATATTATTATTACTAATTTTTTTTTTAAGTGTTGGGCTAAGCAAGGTGGCTCACATCTGTAATCTCCGCACTCTAGGAAGCCAAGGCAGGATTGCTTGAGGCCAGGAGTTTGAGATCAGCCTGGGGAAGTACATGGAGGTCCCATCAAACAGTCAGTCACAAATGCGTTGGTTTTCACATGTGCGTATTCTTCATTAGCAATGAGGACACTGCTGATAAAGGCATTACAATAGGTAGGACAAAATGAACCACTGGGAATGTGTACCGCTAGCACAAACAGCAGCTGGCTGCAGCTGCCATCCTTGGTGCCATAAGGTCACTGTATCATCTAGATATGAAACCCAGAACCAATCTTTTAAATCCAATGACTCAGGCCAGAATTAAAGGTTACCTAAAAGATGGCTTAAAACATTTTACAGATATTCCATTAGTAAAAGTGTAGCTCAAAGTTTCTTATGATTTACTAAAACTTTATGGTAATAAAGTTCAGATCAACGTAATATCTTTAGAAAGGGTCTGAATCTTTTTTTGGCCTGTCTCTAGCCATTAAACTTTATCAGCTATATCAATACTAAGAACAACTAAACACTAAAACTAACCTAACATGAACAAGGAACAAAGGGAAATACAGATACAGAGACTAGGAAATGGTAGAGAAATGTTTAAAGGGAAAAAGATTATTGTATTTGGCACTTGTAGGCTGCCTACCATCACTGACATGCTTGTATACTCTTTTCTGCCACCTATTTCTCCAGTTTGTTTTGTGAGCTGAGTTTCCAAATCAAGCAAAGGGGTACCTTATATTGTCATTAAGTGAAATGTCAACATATCACAGAGATGCTTCTAACATGTGATATCATACAATTTTTAAAAAGGAACCCCCTCTGGGTGGAACGACTTTAAAAAGGGCACCTTTTCCTCTGGTTCCCCTTGTGCTGGATCCCCACTCACCCCGTGAGCTGGACACAACCTGCACAACCCTGTGCTGCGGCCTTGCCTCCAAAAGAGGTGAATCCTGTGGCGCAGAGCATATCACTTACTTTTAATAAGATGCTGATAGCACAAGCCACACCAACCGATCCACTTCCTACAATGGAGATCTTATTGTGATGAATGGCCTTCTCTTCAGCGACATTCTTAACAAGTTCACCCTTGACAGTTGCCATCCTGGAAACCTAACAATGAAAACAAATTGCACAGCCATTTCCAGACCTCGAGTTGGTCTGTGGCGAGAGCATGTATGGAGAACTCCTGAGCCCCCGCGCGGAAAGAGGTGCTGCGGACACCCAAGAGACCAACAAATCTCACCAGCAAAGAAGCTGGGTAGGTTCTAGCCAGGCAGCTCAGCCTCCATGAATCGGACCAGGAGAAGAAGAAGGAAGCGTGAGTACAGTTAAGAGGAGCTAAGAGAGAGAGAGGAAAGAACAGGGGCTGCTCCACCAAATATGAGACTGCAGCTGGGACGGTTCTCTGTACAGCTGACTCCCTTTTCTCTCCCTTTCCCCTCCTTTTCCCCCAGTCTCCAGTTCTCAGCTGCAGGACTGCACCCAGGGTCCGCAGGCCACACTCACAGGTGAAAGGCCATCCTCGCCCGAGCAGGTCACATACCGCCTGGCGGAGACACGGAGCCATCCTTGGGCAAAAACAACCCGCTCCCGCGGCGCCCGCTCTCTGGCTGCTCCGCAGAACACTTGCAGCCCAGCTCATAGCCACTCACTCAAGAGGTGAAGAAAGAGAATGGAGTAAAGCTCGTCAAGGCACGAAGCTCAACCAGCGACTGACGGACGCCGGGTCACCGCTTTAATGCAGCTGCGCAGACCGCACCCAGCTCGTGCAGGCATCGCAGGTATGATGCCCAGCAGGTGTGAGGCCCGGCAGGTGAGAGGCCAGAAGCAGGCTGTGGGGCACTGCGCCTGCGCCTCTGCCTGTCCGCCCCGCCCCCGCGTGCAGGTGGGCACGCTGCGGGGTAGGTGGTTGACCGGCTGCAAAAGAGGCGCAAGGTGCGGCAGGCACAATGCACTGCAGGGCCTCTGGTGTCAGGCGGAGATGTTTGCCTAGAACCCATCCACCAGAGAGCCCAAGTAATTTTATTTCTAACAAAATCTTGTCTGGATGTATCTGAAAAGGACCTTTTGACTCTCATTTGGAAAATTTTCCCCAGCACTGTAGGAGAAAGGGACCTCAAGACTACTTATTACCTCAGCTGTGAGCTAAAGTAGAAAAAGTAAAAATTTAATACTCTGGCCTTGGCGCGGTGGCTCAAACCTGTAATCCCAGCACTCTGGGAGGTCGAGGCGGGCGGATTTTCTGAGGTCAGGAGTTTGAAACCAGCCTGGCCAACATGGTGAAACCGCCTCTCTACTAAAAATACAAAGATCAGCTGGGCATGGTGGTGCACACCTGTAATCCCAGCTACTTGGGAGGCTCAGACACACAAATCGTTTATGAACCTGGGAGGCAGAGGTTGCAGTGAGCCAAGATCGTGCCACTGCACTCCAGCCTGGGTGACAGAGTGAGACTACATCTCAAAAATAAAAAATAAAAATACAGACTCCAAAATCAGTCTGGAATAAACCAAAGTTTCTATTTCTCCTACCACATTTTTCCTGTTTTCTAACTCATTTGTGAATCATGTAATTTTGGTTAATATTAAGTGTCAACTTGATTGGGCTGAAGGATACAAAGTGTTGATCCTGATGTGTCTGTGAGGGTGTTGCCACAAGAAATTAACATTTGAAGTCAGTGGGCTGGGAAAGGCAAACCCACCCTCTATCTGGATGAGCACCATCTAGTCAGATACGTGCCTAGGATAAAAGTAGGCAGAAGAACGTGGAAGGACTAGATTGGCTAAGTCTTCCAGCCTTCATCTTTCTTCTATGCTGGATGCTTCCTGCCCTCAAACATCGGACTCCTAGTTCTTCAGCTTTGGAACTCCGATTGGCTTCCTTGCTCCTCCGCTTGCCTATGGTGGGACCTCACCTTGTGACCATGTGAGTCAATACTCCTCATTAAACTTGTGTGTGTGTGTGTGTGTGTGTGTGTGTGTGTGTGTGTGTGTATATATATATATCCATCCTATTAGTTCTGTCCTGCTAGAGAACCCTAATACAGTAATACACATTGACAAATTTTTATAAAATGTAGAGCAGTGTTTTTCAGTCTTTTTTCATTATCACTCCCTCAAGAGCCTTTGTAGATATTTTCCCCCTAATTGTTTTGCACCCCCATCATGAAATTAAATATTAAGGAGTTAAGATTTGGTCAAGCAGGGTTGAGCTTTGGAGAGCCAAACTCTTGTAATATCTACGATTTTTAAAAAATCTTTTCCTTCCTCCCTCCTCCCCACAACCAATTTTCAGCCACGTAAGGAAAAATTGCCTTGTTGAGAATACATGATGTAGAGCAGTTTTACTTACTAGAATGTTCCCTGTAGAAACTGTATCAATTTTTCAGCTTTTTAATCTCTGCAAGAATTTCCTAAAATGAAGTTTTGATGTACAAATGAGCTTTGAAAAAAGCCAAAACCTACAGAAGACTCCCCTTGCCCCCATCCTAACTGATAATAATTTTATACATTCAAGGGAAGATTCTGAAGAAAAAGGGAAAAGAATAAAATAATGGGAAACTAATCATGTTCAGGAATAGATGAACAGAATGAAAGCTATCAAGACAGTAAGAATAATCAACTGAGGGTAAACCATGACTCTCTGACCAAATGAATCTGCCTCCACTAGTCATGTGAGTCCTCAGGGCCTGCATATCTACCTTCTAATCTTTCCCACTGATCTAGTTTTAGTCAAAATTTGTAAATTGGCCGGGAGTGGTGGCCCATGCCTGTAATCCCAGCACTTTGGGAGGCCAAGGCAGGAGGACCCCTTGAGCCCAGGAGTTGAAGACCAGCCTGAGCAACATGGCAAAACCCTTTCTACAAAAAAATATGAAAATTTGCAGGATATGGTGGCATGTGCCTGTAGTCCCACCTACTCAGGAGGCTAAGGTGGGAGGATCTGTTGAGCATTGAAGTTCAAGGCTTCAGTGAGCCACAATTATAACACTGCACTCCAGCCTGGGTGACAGAACAAGACCTTGTCTGAAAAAAGAAAAAAATGATTTCTTAGTTTTTTATTGTATTGTATAGCTCCAATAGCTGCCTTAAATTCTTTGTGGAATCAAGGAAATATTTCATATGTATGGATACACTATATGTTGAGAAACATTCAGTTTGTTCTGCCCCCGTGGCTCCCTTGTATAGAATACCTTTTAGTTTGTAATTAGTAGTAGGCAGGTAACAGCTGCCTACTTGGAATATTTATGAGTTATGAGTAAATACAGAACACCTGTTTTTAATAAGAATCGCCTGTTAAGAGAGAATAAATATGTGGATGAGAATCTGCTCAGGGCCTTCAGCCTGGAATGCTGTTAGCCCCTGAGGCTCTCAGTTCAATAGGCTGCTGGTCCCCTGGAGAGATCCACTCTGTTGTTCTATCTGGGTGTCTGCCTCTCATTACCTTCAGTGCCGCCTGGGTGGGGGTCTCCTGACCAAGCTGGTACTCAGTAACTATATAAATCAGCAGAAGCACTTCACCTTTAGACACCAAAAGGGAGCTAATAATGACTGTTATCAAACATTAGTCAACAATCAGCTGGGTGGAGTTGCTCACACCTGTAATCCCAGCATTTTAGGAGGCTGAGGCAGGCAGATCACTTGAGGTCAGGAGTTCGAGACCAGCCTGGCCAATATGGTGAAATCCTGTCTCTACTAAAAATACAAAAATTAGCTGGGCGTGGTGGTGTGTGCCTGTAATCCCAGCTACTCGGGAGGCCAAGGCAGGAGAAGTGTTTGAACCCAGGAGGTGAGGTTGCAGTGAGCCGAGATTGCACTACTGCACTCCACCCTGGGCAACAAAGCAACACTGTCTTGAAAAAAAAAAGTAATTATAAATGCTTATTTTTAAGACCATATATATCAAAAAGCTGGGATTACAGGCACCCCACACCGTGCCTGGCTAATTTTTTTGTATTTTCAGTAGAAACAGGGTTTCACCATGTTGGCCAGGCTGGTCTCAAACTCCTGACCTCAGGTGATCCACCCACCTTGGCCTCCCAAAGTGCTGGGATTACAGGCATGAGCTACCATGCCCAGCAGCATTTATAATGATTTTGCATAAACATAGGACACTAATGCAATATGAAATGAATATGCTGATACTCTAATGGACAAAAGTACAAGATAAAATTGTAATACTAGAAAAAGGGGTTGGTTTGCGAAAAGAATCAAAGTTCTATATTATAATGATTATACATATTCTACATCTGAAGGCACTCTTACATATATGACACCTCAGAAGTATAACTTATACCTGTACAGATTGGGTATCATTAGAATAGAGCTATAAAGGAGTCTCAAAGAGGAAAATCTCTACCATTTTCTCATTCTAACCTTGAGAGAATGGAGTTATGTCATAGGTCTCCAATTTTTATTTTTTAAAGATCAAATGAAAATACTTTCAAAATTTATACAGTCAACTATCCTCTGTTCTCCAAACAGTGGAACATTAGAAGGCTTTAAAATTTCAGATCCTTTTGAATATTCAAAAGTGTTTCTGCACTCTTCTTGAAAAGGGCCTCCTCCTCAGGATTCAAGTTAATTTTCACAACATCTGAGACACCATTCCACCCCAAGACACAAGGGATACTGAGAAACAGTTCTTCTTTTATTCCATATAATCCCTGAAAGGCAAAAGTAGATTATTGTTCAAGTAACCTGATATGGAAAAGGAGCTGTGCAAAAGGGCATCAGAATAAGAATATACAGGAGAGAGTAAGGCACTCAACATGAATTGCTCAGAGGGCAGCAGAGTGATGAGCAGCAAAAGCATGAGCAGCCTTATGTCCTATGGCCATGTGGAGCTTACATTCAATGACATGAAGAAGATGCGGCCGGGCACGGTGGCTCAAGCCTGTAATCCCAGCACTTTGGGAGGCCGAGGCGGGTGGATCACGAGGTCAAGAGATCAAGACCATCCTGGTCAACATGGTGAAACCCCGTCTCTA